TATGGAGCTTATGGTCTGTTGGGGAAACCAAACAAGTAAATAAGCAGTTAAAATACAGGGATGAGTGCCAGAAAGACGGTTAGGGAGCAGCCACTAGAGGAGGGTTTGAGGTGGAGAAGGATGTTCAAGGTCAGAGAACAGCTGTGGAAAGGCCTGGAGGAGGTAGAGGCATGGAGACCTTGGAGGCTTGATCATATTGGCCTTGGGGGTCATGTCGGGGTGGGTACCCTCGGCCCTGACTGTGGGGAGCCATAGGAGGGTTCTGAACAGGAGAGGGGCATACACATATTTTACAGGCAGACTACTTCTGAGAAAGCAGAAGATGGTACCCCCACACTCACACGAGCCTTTTGGAAGGTGGAGAGGGCTCCGGTGTGATTTGAATTCCTGAAAGTGAAACTGTTTGGAGCTGATCCCATACAGATTTCTGGGCCTGGTCCAAGACTTAGTGAATAGGGTCTCTGTGAAGGAATTTTTAACAAGTGCTCACGTGATTCTGATGAGCAGCAGGTTCAGGGACAGTTAGAATGGATGGCTGTCCGTGGGTTTCCACTAGAAATGCTCATTTGTCTATTTCCCACAGACTTGCCAACTGAGACCTCGGCAAGGTCACTTCATCTCTCTGAGATTGTCTTCTCATCTTTAAAATTGGGACATGGGTGAGGTTTGAACTCAATGATATTCAGAGTATCTCCATTTACAGATGAGGAAACTGTGGCTTGGAGAGGTTAAACAACTTACCCCAAATCACAAAGCTGGGAAGTGGTCAAGTTTAACCCTCTTTTTTATGAGTCCAAGACTTTTCTCAGAAATTGGCCTGGGTTCCCCAGGATCAGGAGGCCTATGGTTACAGAGGTATTTGCAACTCTGTGCTTGTCCTGCTAACAATGTGATATCTAAAATCTCAGGTGGGGCTGATGTGGGCAGGCATATGGTGGTTGAGGCCTGGGCTGTTGTGCTGAGCCGCATGGTTAAGTGAAAGATTAGATTCTGTCCTTGTGCTTGAGTTGCTCTTGATCTGGCCACAGACAGGCACATTAGCAGAATGTGCTGGTACAAGCTGGAGCCTCTAGCAAGCAGGGTGGCTTAGTATATTCTGTGCTGCTATAACAGAATACCGCAGACTGGGTAATTTACAATGAACAGATAGATACTGGCTTACAGTTCTGCAGGCTGGGAAGTCCGATGTCAAGGTGCCAGCACCTTATGAGGGCTTTCTTGCTGCATCTTCCCATGCCAGAAGGTGAGGGCAGGAAGGGGCTGAACTAGCCCTTTGTAAGGGCACTAGTCCCACCCATGAAGGTGAAGCCCTCATGACCTAATCACCTCTTAAGGGTCCCACATCTTAGTACTGTTACAATGGCAATTAAATTTTAGTATGAATTTTGGAGGGGACAAATATTCAAACCATAGCACAGGGACTTTGGGAAAGCTTTCTGCCTTGTGAACTGAGGGATTTGGGGGGGTCTTGTCTGATGTACTAGCATTTTACAGTCAAGGAAGAGAAGGGAGAACATTCATTTCAGGCAAAATGACCAGCTTGGGTGAAGGCCTGGCAAAGCATGTGTGTTGGGAATGATGGGACGAGCATAGGCTAGAGAGGGGTGACAGGACAGGTGTGTCGAAGGTACAGAGGAGATATGGGCAGAAGGGACTCATGGAGATGTGGGGGATCTAAAGTGGAGACTTTATGGTTTTATTTAAGTTTTTGAAAGACCCCCTTGGCCAATAGAGTGGAAATGGACTAGAGAGGGAAATGGGAAGGCAGGGAGACCGTTGAGGAAGCTGCTGAAATGGTCCATGTAGGAGATAATGATGTTGACTTTGAGATACATTCAGGGGGCACAGATGCCGTAAGCTGGGAATAGTGCAAGATGGAGAGGCTTTGAAGATGTCACTCAGGGCTTAGGCTGAATGACTGCGTAATGCCATAAATGGATATTATAGAAGAAGGACTCAATTTGGGGAATACTTACCATGTCAATAACCATTTACTGAACACTTAGGAGGTGCCAAATACTATGCCAAGCACTTTATACACATTTAGGTGATTTAATACTCACAGCGACTCTAGGGGGTGGGTACTATTATTGTCTTTTTTTAAACAAAGAGTGTAAATAGCTTTTCTGAGATTAGCAGACAGCAGAGTCAGGATTTGAACCCATGGCTATCTAATTTCTAAGTCTATGCTTTGGAGTCTCACTCAGTTCTGCCTGAGGGAACAGCCAGCCATTACTCAAGACTCAGCTCAAGGGCTGGTTCCTCCAGGGTGAGCCTTCCCTGAATCTTCCCGGCTAGGCTGGCGCTCCTCCTCTGTGCTGCTTGTACATACTTCTGTCATCACATTTCCTACACTCTACTGACATTCCGTAGACCCATCTGCTTCTTCAGTCGGAGAACTCCTCGGGGCAGGGAGGGTCCCAGTCATTTCTGCATCTCCAACGCCTACTAGCACATGTTGATTGGCTGACTGAATACCAGTTATTTTAGGCAATTCTGTTCCCCTTTCCTCTTACATAGTATGTGAACAAGTTCTGCTAATAATGATCTCCTAAATATTTCTTTATACCGTTGGGGCTCAGAAAGTGATAACCCCGAAGACTGGCGCTTTGACATGCCAAGAGGCCTTAGACACTGCGTCAGAGTCAAGGTCCCTCTAACCTTGTCTTGTCCTCCACTGTCCAAGTGCAGGGAGCAACCTTCTCTGTAATTTCCTTACCTGACCAAGCAAGCTTCTTTTCACAACAAACTCAATTGCCTTCCTCCCCTCCCTGAAATCTCATCTATCTCAGAAAAGAAGACTGAGGACTGCAACTGCGCCTGGATGGATATTTCACAAGATACCTGCCTCTCGGGCTCATTCAGATTCCAAAGAGAATTCTTTACTAATTAATTTTTATTTCTTCTCCCTAATAATCATTTGCTGCCCCTCAAAAAATTGTCTATGTTCCCCATCTCCCTCCTCCCCAATGAAAAAGGGTATATAAGCTTCTGTACTCCACTAAATTACTGGGTAATCAGTCTCCTGTGACCAACCCCTGCCCTGTGCTATGCACATTAAATAAAATTTTGTATGTCTTTTCTCCTATTAATCTGCCTTTTGTCCATTGATTCTCACTGAACCTTCCAAGGGCAAAGGTGAAGTTTTCCCTTGGGTACTACAATAATGTTCTATTCTCTCCATCTTCATTGCCAGAGGTTAGCGCTGGGTTTTTAGAAAATAGAAAAAGGGTATCCAACCTGGTAGTGCAGGCTAGGGGGCTCTCTACTGGGGTGACCCTGAATTTAGAAAAAGGAGCTGGAGCTCCTTTGGTAAAGAAAGGTGGAAAGAGCAGTCAAAGTGGATGAAAAAGCCTAAGTAAGGCACCAAGGTGTCAGTTCATCTGCTGGGTTCAGCGTGTGCTACTGAAATAAATATGCCAAGCTGAGATAAGTGGCATGAGGGTGGAAAAGCAGGATATCTGGGCTAGGCATGATGGCTCAGCTGTAATCCCTGCACTCTGGGAAGCCAAGGCAGGAGGGTCACTTGAAGCCAGGAATCTGAGGTTGCAGGGAGCTCTGATAACTCCATTGTACTCTAGCCTGGGTGACAGAGGGAGACCCTGTCTCAAAAAATTAAAATAGGCCAGGCACAGTGGCTGATGCCTGTAATCCTAGCGCTGTAGGTGGCACAGGAGGGAGGTTTGCTTGAGCTTAGGAGTTGCAGGCCAGCCTGAGCAAGAGTGAGACCCGGTCTCTACTAAACATAGAAAAACTAGCTGGGCATGGTGGTTGTAGGTTTTAATTCCCCTAAAGGGAGAGGTTTTAAAAAGATAGAAATCATTTTTACTCCCTTTCAGGACTTTCTCTTTGCTACACTAAGCAGAGATTCTTGAGGTCAGCGAGCATGCCTTTTGTATTTGTGGGCCCAGACCTCAGTCTTAGAAGAGGCCCAGACCTCAGTCTTATTAGATACCTAATAAAAATAATCAACTGGGGCGGTGCCTGTGGCTCAAAGGAGTAGGGTGCCAGCCCCATATGCCAGAGGTGGAGGGTTCAAACCCAGCCCCGGCCAAAAACTGCCAAAAAAAATCAATTGAAGACAGGCATGGTGGGCTCGGCGCCTGCAGCACAGTGGTTAACAGCGCCAGCCACATACACTGAGGGTGGTGGGTTCAAACCCGGGCTGGGCCTGCTAAACAATGACAACTGCAACAACAACAACAACAAAATACGGGGCATTGTGGCGGGCGCCCATAGTCCCAGCTATTTGGGAGGTTGAGGCAAGAGAATCGCTTGAGCCCAGGAGTTTGAGGTTGCTGAGAGCTGTGACACCATATCACTCTACCGAGGGTGATATAATGAGACCCTGTCACAAAACAAAACTAAACAAAAAGACAGGCGTGGTAGCTCACACCAGTAATCCTAGCACTTTGGGAGGCTGAGGTGGGAGGATCTCCTGAGAGCAGGATTTTGAAGTCAGCCTGAGCATCATAGCGCGATCCCAGCTCTTAAAAAAAAAAGAAAAATGAACTGGGCGTGGTGGTGGTGGGGGTGCCTGTAGTCTCCACCGGTCCGGAGGCTGATGGAGGAGGATCACTCGAGCCCAGGGCTTTGAGGTTGCTATTAGCTATGATTGCGGCACTGCACTCTAGACCGGGGGATAGAATGAGACCCTGTCTCGGAAAAAAAAAGTCAGTTGAATAAAAGATTAGATGACCTTTCACTTTTTCTACGGGAAAAGCACTTTGCGGTGTCACTAGGAAGCCTCCTGGACACGAGGGGGCACTGTGCCTTCTCAGCACGGTGGGGCGCGTTGCCGACACCCAGCTTCCTCCCGTCCAGTGGTTGGAGTTCAGCCAATCCCTGCGCTCAGAGAGATTCCCCCGGCCCGTGGGTGGGGGTCACGGGCAAGGCCCCGGGGGCCGCTGGGAGCCGCGACGTTTGTGCTCCCGGCGAGCGGGCAGAGAGCGGGCTGGGCCCAGGAGTGCGGGTTTAGCCATAGGTGAGCACGCGGTCCCTGCGGGCAGTTCCTTTCCCCGGAGCGGCTGCCGGGGCCGGCCGTTCTGTGGCGACAGCCCTAGGCCGTAACCTCCGAGGCGGGGAGGGTGATCGCTGGTGTCTGCTCCGGCCCCGGCCAGGCTGACCGTTCCCTCTCTTCCCGGTGTTCTGATGTGTAGTCTGGGAGCCCCGCTGGCCTTCGGCCTCCAGGGCTTCTCGGCCTCAGGCACCTAAGGACGGACGTTGACAAGGCCGTGAGTGCGGTGGGATAGGGGCTGGGGAGGGAATCTCAGAGGAGAACGGTAGCTATTTGGATCCTGTCCTCACTTGTGCTCCCATCCCCGGACAGGGCTCGAGAGACTGCCAGGGTTAATTCTTCCACTTTCCCAGGCCTCCGCTGTCCTTGTCAACAGTTGTTGAATTTGGGATTAGGTCTTCCGGTCCCCCGGCACAAGGGAAGATTTCTCGGCAACCCAGTTGACCTTTACTTGACGCTTTGGCAACTCCCTCCTTGCGGGGCTGGAAATGGCGTCACAGTATTTGTGAGACACTTTCACCTTTTTCATTATGGTATCCCGGGGATGACTTATCAGAGAGTATCTAGCTTCTTGTAATCTGCAAAGGTCTGCTGTGTTCCTGCCACCTTTTGAGGTAGAGTGGATGGATGACTGCTGTGCTTTTACACCAGTGAGTTGCTTGAACTGTTATTCATTCTGTCAGCAAAATTTTTTTGAGCACTTTGTGCTGGGCAGGGTGGGAAAGGTGGGGAGATGAATAGGGTACAATGGGGCCAGGCAAACATGGTCTTTGTCCTCTTGGAGCCTAAAGTGTTTTCAGAAATGCAGACAAGTGGGGTGAGCCAGCACAGTGCCTGACACAGAGCCAAGTGGTTAAGTGTTGGATAAATTAACGAATTGACTTATTTAGGAATGATTAGCATGTGAGTGGGGCAGCAGAGAGACCTTGTGCTGTGTGTGAGAGAGAATATTAGTTGTGGACTCAGGTTTGATATATTTTAAGATAAGAGAACTTGCTTAAAGAAAAGGTGGGAAATAAAATGAAGAAGTATTAGATTTGCGATTCTTCAGGGATGTCTCTTTTAACAACTACTACATCTTATAATTTCATGAATCTATGAGTATAATATTTCCTGTGCAAAAATGAAAACTCTTCTAGGTAATGAAATGCCAAACATATGGGGGAAAACTGCAGGAAGCTTTTCCTAAGTCAGAGAATTGGACAGAAACCATACAGCTATCTGTGACATATTCTTTGCACTAGACAGAACCTAGGTTTTAAAGCTGGAGAGACCTAGGTTCAGGATCACTTATGGTGAGATCGGGCAAGTTAACATATGTTTGAGCCTTTGTGGCCTTAGACAAAAATCTGGGTTAATAATTCCTACATCAGGAGGGTGTGGTGAGGATCAAGTGATGGTTGGTGTGTAGAGTGTCCAGCATACTGCCTAGTGTCAGGATGAAGAACCAGGAGTGAAATCCTGGAGCTGCTGCAGTTTTATTTTTCTCATGATGGTTCATAGGTCCACAAAACACTGGATTCTTTCAAAGAGAATTGGAACCACAGAGAGGGAGAGGGTTATCTTCTGTTTGGTGAGGTTTCAATTGTTTAGACCACAGATAGCTGTTTTGGAGAAATACTTATCGGGGCATCACTAGAAAGATCTTGCAGTTGAGACCTTTGGGCAAGTCACTTAACCCTCTGATCATGCCATCTGTCTCATATGATAGACATGAGGATTAAAGGAATGGTATGAAATGAACATTGGCTAGCGCTCAATAAATGGTCGCTATCATTGTGGTAACTGTGAATGATCTTTGATAATTATTATTGATGATAATCATTGGAGCATAAATGACCATTATGTTAACCCAATTTGTGTGTTTTTACATCATTTTGATATTATCCTACTTCATTTCAGGAGGCTTTGGAGCAATTCCACTCCTTTTTTCCCCCCTGCTATGGTTTATTCAGCAGTTTTTACAGAGAATTTTCAAGTACTACAGTACCTAGAGTATGTATAGTGTTTGTGATATTTCCAGGAGCTAATTGTGCAAATGTGGAGTATGGGTTTAGTTGAAGATAGTATATATTGGAAGTGGTTTGGTCAGCAAATTTGTAACGTATAGGTTTGTCCCATTGTTAGAAAAGCCAAGTTCAGTGTAGGGTAACACCATTACTTATGTATCTATCCATAAAGCAGAGCAGTCAGGTAATGGATTATAGATTTGTCTGTTTAGATATGTTTTTCTTTCTTTCTTTCTTTCTTTTTTTTTTTTTTTTTTTTTTGAGAGACAGAGTTTCACTTTGTCACCCTGTGCTGTGGCGTCACAGCTCACAGCAACCTCTAGCTCTTGGGCTTAAGCGATTCTCTTGCCTCAGCCTCCCGAGGAGCTGGGACTACAGGCACCCACAACAATGCCCGGCTATTTTTTTTGTTGTTGTTGCAGTTTGGCAACAGTTTGAACCCGCCACCCTTGGTATATGGGGCTGGCGCCCTACCCACTGAGCCACAGGCGCTGCCCTAAATATGTTTCTTATACTTAACGAGAGGAGAAGGAATTACTTTTCATTATCATTGAGCCAGGAGATTCAGAGTAGGTTTGTATGTGTTGGTGAAATTTCATGGAGAAATTTCATAGAAGTCTATCAGGTAAGGCTCAGAGGTCCCCTTGTGGACCTACTGTGAATACTGCTTGCTATACATAGGTGCTCAATTGTCAGAGTATAGTACATAAAATAGAGATCCTTTCTCCCCCTTTTTTTGGCTGGGGCTGGGTTTGAACTTGGGTCTGGTATATGGGGCCGGTGCCCTACTCCTTGAGCCATAGGTGCTGCCCTCTCCCTTCTTTAACAATCGAATTTTCTGAAATTTCCCAGATGTTTTCAGAGATTCACTTCTTGCATAAAGCAAGGTACCCTCTTGCATTGCTGTGCACAGGGTAGGTGCTTAGTAAGTTGGGCCGGGCTGCCTGGTAAATGGAGAGCCCTGGTGGGTTGTCCGTATTTGCTGGGAGAGGGGATGCTGGTTTCTCCCTAATGGTGCCTTGTATTCTTCTGCAGATGTCATGTGGCCAGTGTTTTGGACCGTGGTACGTACCTATGCTCCCTATGTCACATTCCCTGTGGCCTTTGTGGTCGGGGCTGTGGGCTACCACCTGGAATGGTTCATCAGGGGAAAGGATCCCCAGCCTGTGGAAGAGGAAAAGAGCATCTCAGAGCGCCGGGAGGATCGGAAGCTGGATGAGCTGCTAGGCAAGGACCATACCCAGGTGGTGAGCCTTAAAGACAAGCTGGAATTTGCCCCTAAAGCTGTCCTGAATAGAAACCGCCCAGAGAAGAATTAACGGAGGATTAATTATGGCCCTACTGTGGGCCATGACTGGTCCTGACACCATGTCGACTCAGCTCCAGAACCCACATCTGATTTGCTTTGTTGTTTACTCTGGCTCCTCCCTCACCACACAACCACACACACACTGGCTACTTCTTGATGGCCAGGCAGACACAGCAGCAGCTGAGGGGCCAGTGAAGAGGAAGGCTCTTGAGGATTCTGGCCAAAAGACTGCATCTGTTATGTGGTGGCCGCGACTGCTCAGGCACCCCAGCTTCTGGGTATACTTCTAGGAGGAATGTTATGAAATGAACATTGGCTGCCAGTCTCCATGGAGAGGTGGTTTGGCCTCAAGTGGGAATGGCTTTCGGGTGTTGCTTTTGGGAGGGATACCTACATGTCCTGTTCCAGTTTGCACTGGGAAGAATTCAGAAATCTGTGTGGCTCCCTTCATGAGTTTGCACTGTCCTTTGTGTTCATTCTTACTGAAATTTTGTCTTGTCAGCTCAGGAATGGGATTCTATGGGGGAAGGAAAGCATTTTTCTGTTCTTCCAAAGGAAGCCCAGGCTGCTCACTGTGGGGGAGGGAGGAACATGTACCTGGTGAATTTGCTGGAAAACAATCACCATCATCCACCCCCATCACTGTATAATGCAAAACTTGATTAAAGTGACATCTGAGAACTATATGGAGTGAATCCTATCTTCCAAATGGTATTTAGGGTCTCCTTAGGAGTTAGGCAAGCTCAGGCATTTCGAGGCAGAATGACATTGGTGTTTAAGTGCTTTAGGAGTACTAGGGGGCTGGAAACTTTTCCTAGCCTGGTTGCACTGAATCTTGGAGGCACAGGTTCCCAAGAGTATGGTAACAAGAGGCTGTAGCACCTTTTGGAAGATGTAAATGATGGCACCCAGAAATGAGGCCGCAGAGGAGAGGGTCAGGCCAGGTTTATTGATTTATTTATCTTGAGATAGAGCCTCAAGCTGACCCCCTGGGTAGAGTGCCATGGCGTCACAGCTCACAGCAACTTCCAACTCCTGGACTTCAGCCAGTCTCCTGCCTCATCTTCCTGCGTAGCTAGGACTACAGGTGCCCGCCACAGCACCCGGCTATTTTTTTGGTTGTAGTTGTCATTGTTGTCTGGCAGGCCTGGTCTGGATTCGAACCCGCCAGCTCTGGTGTATGTAACTGGCGCCTTAGCCACTTGAGCTACAGGCACTGAGCCCGGACAGGTTTATTGAAAGGGAGAGTGACCCCCCTGGGCAGTGCGAAGACGTGTCTGTGCCCAGGAGCCTATGAGATGGGCAAACATTTTGGTTGAAGATAGTATATATTGGAAGTGGTTTGGTCAGCAGTTTTGTAAAGTGTAGGTTTGTCCTATGGTTAGAAAAGCCAAGTTAGAAATAGGATAACATCATTACTTAGAACAGTGAGACAACTGTTTTTTTTTTTTTGGCCAGGGCTGGGTTTGAACCTACCACCTCTGGTATATGGGGCCGGTGTCCTACTCCTTTGAGCCACAGGCGCCACCTGGCAACTATTTTATATGGAGCCTAAGGGGTGGTCAAATTCTGCAGCTTGCCTGGAAAGGTAGGGTCTTTGGCATGAACTGAGGGAGTGGGCTAGCCAGATCTTTTGTGTTTTTGTTTGAGGAGGAAGGGAGAACGGGGAGGGGAAAGGGTCCCCTAACACTTTCCAGTCTAAATTAGATCACACACACGCTATTTCTCTATAGAAATAATACATGCACATTAAAGTTTGGTAGGGATTTAAAAAAAGGTCACCTATGCTTCTAGCTCTTAAGTTAGTACAAGCAGCTGTTCACATTTTGTTATCTTTTACTAATTCTCTGCATAGGTTTTAAAGATAGTTACCATTACTGTACATTTGATTGTATATGTATTTTTACAGATTATTTAAATTATTTTTCTACCTTATCACATGATCATAATTCTTATTGCTACATAATTACCCTTCAAGTGGGAACATAGCATGTTTGTTTTTAACAATTTCTCTCTATTGCTGGATATTTGAATTGTTTCTGGTTTTTTTCTGGGTTTTGGATGGAATAGGATGAGCAGTTTTTTGATTTTTTTTTTTTTTTAGACAGAATCTCACTTAGTCTCCCTGGGTAGAGTTCTATGGCATCACAGCTCACAGCAACCTCCAACTCTTGCCTCAGCGATTCTCTTACCTCAGCCTCCCACATGGCTGAGATTACAGGCACCTGCCACAATGCCTGACTATTTTTTTTTTTTTAAGAGACGAGATCTTGCTCTAGTTTGGGCTGGTCTCAGACTCCTGAGCTTAAGCAATCCACCCGCCTTGGCCTCTCAGAGTGCTAGAGTTACAGGCACGAGCCACGGAGGATGAGCAATTGTAGTGTCTTTGTGCATAATACAAATGTCTTTCCTATTGCTGGTGAGGTTGTAAGGGGAGTGAGAGCAGAGGGCTGGGTTAGTGAAGCTGACTTGTTTCAGAGAGCAAAGGGAAGTAAGGAGCAATTGATGAATGAAATCTGACTCTAAAAGGGGCTTCTTATCTCAGGATCTCTCTCCCCTGAGACCTGATGGGTGAGGGTGGAATTGCTGGTAGAGATGCCAGCTCTGGAGTGGGAGGTGCTGGTCCTGGAAGGTGGTGGGCAGAGAGCAGGTTGAGTTGATGGCTTGTCCTCAGTGTCTTTAGGCCAAGTGGGAATGCGGAAATGAGCTGCTGTTGTTTCCCAGGGAATGTCTCTGGTATGGAGAGTGGGGAAAGATGGTTGGTTACACAAGTAAAGAAATTCATGGTTTGGAAAGTTACAGGCACCCGCTGATGGACATGCCTCATTGACAGGCCAGTGCTGCCACCTCGTGGCAGTTCTGGGCATTACCACACCTGGGATCTCTTCCCTGGGCTTGTACCAAACCCTCCTGCCGGCAGGGGTCGGTCTCGTGACTTAAATGGGCCACTAGGCTAGCCCAGTTGGG